GCACCTGAAGTGTTTCAGAGGAAAAATTTTGAACTTTTTGGAGACATTAATGGTGTTGAATTGTATTTTGACGATTTAATTATATCAGGTGAAAATGAGGTTGAGCATGACAAGAATTTGAAGTTAGTTCTTGATAGAGCTCTGAAATATAATGTAAAGTTTAATCGTGATAAAATTCAATTTAAATCTAAAGAAGTAAAATTCTTAGGCCAAGTATTTTCAAAGGATGGTGTCAAACCCAGTCAGACTCATATTACTGCCATTATAGACATGCCCAAACCTCAAAACAGAACTGAACTTTTGAGATTACTTGGCATGGCGAAATTTCTGGCAAAATTTGTACCAAATATGTCAAAAGTGACAGCATCTCTCCGAAATTTGACTCGTCAGGACGTTGAGTGGCATTGGACTGATGAACATGATAGTTCATTAAGGCAATTAAAACATTTATTGACAAGAGCACCGGTATTAGCATTTTTTGATTCTTCTCTGCCATTAGAAATTGAAACAGACTCATCAAAGGATGGCATGGGTTCCTGTTTATTGCAAAATGGGCATCCAATTGCTTTTGCCTCCAGAAGCCTCACAAAAAGCGAGGTGAATTATGCGCAAATAGAGAAGGAACTCTTGGCAATTTTGTTTAGTTGCCAGAAGTTCCATTATTTCATTTATGGTGTCAAAAATGTAAAAGTCCACTCTGACCATAAGCCATTAGAATCAATTTTTAAAAAAAGTCTACACTCAGTATCTCCTAGACTCCAACGCATGTTACTTCAGCTACTTAAATATGACGTGAAAGTGACTTATAAGCCAGGAAAGTATTTGTTTATTGCGGATACATTGTCTCGTGCATTTCTCACAAACTCGGGTAACTCACAATATGATTTAAATTTAGATTATAATGTCCACTCCCTCACAAATTATTTACCGATGTCTGAGGAAAAAAAGAATTTGTTTAAATTAACAACAAAAAATGATGAGAACCTGCAGTCTGTAATTAAGTATATCCAAACTGGCTGGCCTATCAGTAAGAATCAAATTCCAATTTTTGCACGTCACTTTTATAAACTAAAGGACGAACTCTCTGTCTCTGATGATCTTTTGTTTTTTAATGCAAAATTAGTGGTGCCTCAAGGTCTGAGGAAAGATATGCTTACAAAGCTTCATGAAGGTCACTTCGGTATCGAAAAAATTAAAGCTCGTGCAAGACAAATTTTTTATTGGCCCCTTATGAGTCAAGACATAGAGAATTTCATTAAGGAATGCAAAATTTGTGAAAAATTCGCCAGGAAGAATAAGAAACAAATTCTTCAGTCTTATCCAATTCCAGAACGTCCTTGGGAAAGGATAGGAGCAGACATTTTTTCCTATGGTGGAAGGTCATATCTTGTTGTTATGGACGCCTATTCAAACTGGCTAGAAGTCATATTACTAAAAGACAAATCTGCTATTGAATGTATTAAAAAATGCAAGGCAATTTTTGCCAAATTTGGTAGCCCTGAGACATTAGTGTGTGATAACGTCCCATTTAATAGTTTTTCTTTCAAGAATTTTGCAAAGGAGTGGAATTTCAACATTGTATTCCGTAGTCCAAATTATCCGAGATCAAATGGTCTGGCAGAAAAGGCCGTTGGTATTGCCAAAAATTTATTGAAAAAATCTTTAGAGGAGGGCAAAGATATATTTGAGGCCTTATTACAATATAGGAATTCCCCTCTGAAATTTTTAGGTTATTCACCCTCACAGTTACTTATGAGTCGTATGTGTAAGACTAAATTGCCTGTTTCAGCAGATTTATTGAAACCTGTGTTGTGTGAAAATGTCACTGAAGGACTTGTGTCAAGGCAATGTCGTAATGAGAACTATTTCAATAAAACTGCCACTAATTTGAAACCTCTAGAACCTGAACAAAATGTAACAGTCTACAATCATATTACTAAAACTTGGGAACCTGGTCAAATAGTCAACCATACTAAAAATCCAAGGTCTTATGAGGTTTTAGATAGTCATGGCAAATTGGTCACAAGAAATAGGTTTGATTTGAAGGAGTCAACTAATGTTTATCGACCCCAACAATCAGCTTTAGATTTTGCTGTTGTGGATTCTAAAAATATGTCTGATCCTGACGTACAGACTATACCCCTTGGATGTAAGTCAAATATAAAAAATGATAATGTCCAATATAAGCTTCCAAATGTTCAATCCAGTAGCGAATCCATATGTTCCCAACAATCCCAACCTATTGTCAATTTACCAAAATCTAGATCAGGGCGTGCTATCAAAAAACCAGCTAAGCTTGATTTATAATATATTATTGTTAGTTTAAGAAAGGAGATGTGTCATAAGTCTAGGTCGTAGGTTGTGGTCAAGTAGTTCCTAATGTTTAGTTGTGTTGGCAACACCGTTAAAAGACATGTCTGTCAGAATTGTCTATATGTCAATGTCAAGTGTCTTCAGTCAGGCAGTTACCGCCAGAAATGGTAGAGGCTCCAAGCCAGATATTATAATGGAGATGTGCTTCTGATTTACTTTGGATTATTAAAAGTATTAAAACACTGAGCATGTGGTTTTAATGATACAACGTATTCCAATTACGATTGATATTGAGAACTGAAATATCGAATAGTAGTTCTAGTAGTACTTAGTAGTAATCGAAGTACTTGGAAATTGTTCATGAGGACTCTGATATTAGAAGGCGTGGCATCAGTGTGAATGTGAGATGGCCGGTTGCCGGTGTCTGTTTTTACTACTACTAGTGTGGAAGTGTGGATTAATGCCCATGAATCCCATGATCAGTATTCTGATTCACCAGACCCGATTAATTGCGGCTAGAAAATTGTTGATGAACGGTATGACCCAATCTTGATGACTTTGCCACCTATGAGTGCATGAATGGAGTACAAAAAGATGAAGAAGACTACTAATAGTGAATTATTTCCTTTCAAAATGAGAGAAATAAAGGCTTTGAGAATGTTTGAATGCTATTTTGAGTTTATGAACGTTTATAACGATTAAACGCCGCAGAAAACGTATGCAAGCATATACAACACGTTTTTAGGAATTTCTGCCCATTTCGTCAAAACTTGATCATTTGATGAACTTCTGATGAACCCCAGTCGTACCCTACAGTCGTATCACTTCCGGCTGGAGTTTCGACTTGATAAACGGTTCCTGTTTTCGGATTCAGCAGGGTCGAAATAGGGGGTTAACGTCATTTATCCAATTGTTACATGAAATGCTTCTAGGATTTTTCTCCTCGCAAAACAAGCTCCGACTAGTATAGCATCCGTAGCAGTAGCAGTAGCAGTCCGTAGCAGTTTATTATACCACGGTCCTTAAAAAAAACGCTTTTCTTTCAAAAATTAAGCAAACTATTGTGGCAATCAGAAAGTTCAGAATCGTGATCTGATCATAAAAATGCCTTCAGAAGATGAACTTTTCGAAATAGAAGCTTTGGTAATATCTGGGTTGATTAGAAATGAGGTAAGTATGTCTTTAGGAGTTATTTTTCATATATGTGTTGCCCGTGGGTTGTGGGTTGGTTATTTCAGTCATGAATCAGTTCAATACTTATACAGGCAGGGTGTTTCACAGGCAAAGAGAAATATTCCAATGGTAGAAAGGGGTCACCAAGGTAATTCTGAGAATACCATATTTGATAGGTCTTAGAGTTTTCATAACGGAGATACAGGGCGATTTATCGATTTCGAATAATTATTCATTCGTCTATAAGTATTGAACTACCCAGTATATTTTTCTAAAATTCGGTATGGAGCTTAAACTTGGGACGTTGAATTCATTCACCTATCGGGCGAAGTGAAAATCCAGGTTCGGCTTCAGGAAAAATTTACATTTATTCGAAATATTAAAATAACACACTGTATGTCATAATCAAAGGAATCGTGAAGAGGAGGAAAAACTGAACTGGATTTGATGCTTTTTGTTTTCTCGCCACCAATTCTCATCGTAACAATCATAAACAGGAGGCTAAAAGTATGTCAATTTCAAGAGTATTAAAATTATGAAACCACTTCCAATTATGATTATTTGATATATTCTTGTTAAATGATCGTTCGGAAGAACTTACTTAGTCTCACAGAGATACAGGGTGAATTATCACTCGTCCATAAGTATTGAACTACCCATAATTTCTCAAATTTGGTATTGAGCTTACTTGGGACGATGGAATCATTGACCTATCAGGCAGAATGGAAATACAGGTTCAGCTTCAGGAAAAGTCTCATAGTCTTCATGACAGAGATACAGGGTGAATTATCGAATCATAATTCCGCCTGATAGGTTGATGAATCCATCGTCCCAAGTAAGCTACATACCATATTTGAGAAAATGTTACTGGGTAGTTTTATACTTATGGACGAGTGAATCGCGAGTGAATAATTATTCAAAACCGATATTTCACCCTGTATCTCCGTTATAAAAACTGTGAGACTTAGTAAGTTCTTTCGAGCGATTTTTTGACTAAAATAGATCGAATAATCATAATCGACACTGGTTTCATAATTTAAATACTCTTCAAATTGACATACTTTCAGCTTTCTGTTTATGATTGTTACGATGAGAATTGGTGGCGGGAAAACAAAAAGCATCAAATCCAGTTCAGTTTTTCCTCCTCTTCACGATTCCTCTGATGAACTCTGTCAATTATTACATACAGTGTGTTATTTTGATATTTCGAATGAATGTAAATTTCTCCTGAAGCCGAACCTGGATTTTCTCTCCGCCCGATAGGTGAATGAATTCAACGTCCCAAGTTTAGGCTCCATACCAAATTTCAGAAAAATATACTGGGTAGTTCAATACTTATAGACGAATGAATAATTATTCGAAATCGATAAATCGCCCTGTATCTCCTTTATGAAAACTCTAAGACCTATCAAATATGGTATTTTCAGAACCACCTTGGTGACCCCTATCTACCATTGAAATATTTCCCTTTACCTGTGGAACACCCTGTATATAGAGTCGAAAAAATTACTCACTCAAAAATGACACTTGTGTACTTCAGAGCCTGTGATGGATCTTGACCAACATTATTGCTGCAATGAAATGAATGGTTTTCATAAGTATAAGCATATTCATATCACATTGTTTTATGATTCTATAATCATAAAAAATTATTTTGAACCACTGCCCAAAGACCTACTCAGGAAAGAAGAATCTATCGGTCTTCATTTTGATCCACTTTTCCCTCAGCCTGCACAAATATTTTTTCAAGGACCCACATGGTACCAACTCCATGATCAGCATATACGGTTGGTCCATAGTGACACAACCCAACAGCTTGACTATATTGTCGTGTTCTCCGATTTTTTTCATTATTTCAATCTCATTCAGGATATCGGATAATGTTTCTTCGGCAGCACCATCTGTGAACAATCAGAAAATTCAATTGAGAGCATTCAGACGACCGTATGAATTATCTTGACCAACTTTTTTTATCTCTTGGAGCGCACGCAAGGAAAATCCTTTAATGTTCGTGGATCATCGCGCGTATCTATATGAAGAACAGGGAGAGGAGGTAGGTGTTGGATTGTTTCTCGACTTTTGGAGGATAGTTCTTGGATGTAACCAGTGTATCACTCCACTTCTAATGAAAGCACAAAGTAGTGATGCTTTCGAGACGAGAGATTCTCGTGTCTCGTCTCGTCTGATTTTTTTTTGATTTTGGAGCGAGACTAGACAAGAAAAAAGTCCACGGGACGAAAGAAAACACCATCATGAGAAGAGCGAGGGAATCGAGAGATGATGAATTCAAATGAAAGTCGTTACTAGAATCAGAATGCAATTCTGAATATATGTCTTCAAATTCTCTTAAAGAATTTTCCTTCATTTTCCTACTTCATGCAATACGAAGAAATGTTTACACTCTAAGCCGTGGGTTCAGGATTGAAATAGCGCAAAGTGCCCTTTTTTTCGAAACTTCCTAGAAATTATGTGAAAATCAACATAAAGCTGGTTCAAAACAATGTATTAGGTACAATTCTATGGAGTTATTTCTCCTATGAAAAAGTACAAATATGAATTTATAAAAAAACAACTCATTCTTATATCAATGAAAACGCAGGAAACTCCCCATAATATTCTTTGCTGAATGAACGATTATACAGTGCTTTGCTCTAATGCCCCCTCCCCCTAATATTTTGTGAACGGGTCAACTGAAGAAATTGAAACTTAGGTTGATGAAATTGGTGAAGAATTAACAGATGAAAATTTCAAGATGGCGACTAGGCGCCATCTGGGATAAAAAAATAATAAATAGAAAGGAAGGACTTGTGACAAATCATTTTGAAGCTCCTGACGAATAATTCACAACCCTACGATATGAAGTCAATATCTTCATCTACTACAAAATAGCGGAACATTTATTAATTTTTCTTTTGCAATTGCATTACCTTGTTGGTCCCAGCACTGGGACCAAACGGTCCATAAGTCGAAACTCGTGCAAGGCTAGGTGAGCATACAAACACAAACATCCATGGCCTAACTAGGATTCGAAGCTATGTCCCTAAACGAACTCAGCGCCTTCACGCTCTCGACCACCGAGTCTCAATACATCGACGTTCAACTTCATATTTCAAGAAAATAAGGTGAGTTCAATTCAGAAGATGCTCAAAATGGTTGAAATGAACTTCTTGACATAAGAACAGTTCATTCTCGAACACAGAAACGTCGATATTTCCACAAATATTCGTTACTGTCTGCCGTATGTCCAATATTGGAGCAGGTTCAGTTTCGTATACCTTCTGCTTTAAATAGCTCCATAAAAAAAAGTCTGAAGGTGTCAAATCTGGTGAGCGGGCTGGTCATTTCGTAGGTCCTCGACGGCAATCCAACGACCGCGAAAAGTTTCTCACTTGTCTGGAGTAATGTGGTGGTGCTCCATCTTGTTGGAATACAATATCCATATCAGATTCATTAGGATTCGCTTCGACAATTTCGGTGATTAGAGGGTCAACAGAATTCTCCAGCATATTCAAATACAGTTCCCCTGTTGAATTTTGGTCAATGAATAGAGGTCCTACAATATGGTTTCCCAATATTCCTGCCCAAACGTTATATTTTTCTGGATATTGAGTATGAGTTTCCCGGAAAACGTGAGGGTTGGTGTCACGGCAATTTTGTCTGTGAACATTGCCGTTGAGAAAATATGTACATTCGTCACTGGAACAAATATTCTGGAGATAAAAAGGATGCCTAACAATGGTTTCCGTCATAATTCCGCATAATTCTATTCTTCGATCAGGGTCATCTTCAGTTAACTGGTGTACCATTTTGATTTTGTATGGATGATACTCATTCCTCTTCAAAAGTCTCCACACAGTAGAAGGACTCACCTCACAAATATTAGCGACGGAGGAAGTAGACTGTTGAGGATTTACTATCATCTCACCAATTATTGGAACCTGCTGTTCTTCCGGAATGGTCGGATGACCTGGGGCGTTACCACCGATACAACAAGGCCTGCATGCTCCGTGGGTGACGTCACTTAGTGAGGCCTAACCAGCGGCTCGAAACGACAAGCACTTATAGCGCTATAAGGCGACCGCGTATTTCGATTTTAGTTTTAGATCATCATTAAGCCGATTTTGCTGTTTTTTGAAGGGCTTCCGGTTGAAAAAGGATGCCAGTCGTCAACTGAGCCCTTCTTCGCACCCCATTCGATTTTATTATGGAAAAACGAAATTTTGAAGCAAAAACCAGGATAAAACACAAATATCCACTAACAGCAACACATTCGAATCAACTATATTGGCAACAATTGTGGTGAAAGTAAACTTCACACCTACTTATACAGGGCCCGCAGAACATAAACTTATCGTGAGATTGATCGAAAGAAAATTGTGGAAAATGTATTTCATTTTGATTGACATGCCGTTTGTTACAATTACCTATATTTATCTTAGAGAATTCCTATCACCTGACAAAATAACCAGTGAGTGTTTTCAATTTTCTGTTGTTGGATTTTTCACCCAAGTTGATCGTTACACTTGAAACCGTAATTTTTCAGGGTAAAACTGCATTTATAATGCGATGGTTTTTTTTTTTAAATTTTTCGGTACTCACGTATTTTTGTCTGATAAACCGAATTTTATAACGAAAATGTGAACAAACACTATTTATTGAGATATTTCAAGAAAAAGTTCGAAATTTCGCCTTCTTTCTCCCCTTGTGTTGGGGGCATTTGAAGCTACTTGCTCTTATTTTGTCATTGGACACTTTATATACTCATGATGTACTTCGATGGCACATTTTCATATAGAAAATTCAACAGGAAATATGATTTTTATGGCGAGTTCTTCATATTTAGTGAACAAGCATTCCAGATGATGACCATTTAATCAATAGTCAATCAGAATACGAGATGTCAAATGTCAATAGGCTTTCGAATGACATTACACACGCCATTATTTTGAATGATATTCTTCCTTCTTTTCACTAAATATGGATTGAACTCAAGAAAATCATATTTATAGTTGAATTATATATGAATTGTCCAATATGATGAAAAAAAGGAGGGAAATTTGTTCTAAATGCCATCCAGAAGACAGGTGAAAAAGAAGGTGGAATTTTGAACTTTTTAGTCAAATATCTTCATGATAAATATCATGATAAATGCAGTTTAACCTTTTCAAGTAGAGTGTTTGTAGTTCATGTTAATATGATAGTTGCAATTTGATCATTGGAATGAATTCTGCATTCATTGCCACGAGGCAAATGACCGTTTTCAGAAAGAAATTTGAGAATGAGAATTAAAAATGCCCGTTTATTATGAACATTCGAGAAAATTTCCTCGAATTCAGAGATGATTTTGTTGACTATAATATACGAATACAAAACTAACTGCACAATCAAAGCTTTTCTATCCTTCCTCTACTTATACTTTTTATGAGAGAGTAATCGTCTTCTATTATCAATTCATCATTATAAATTGAGCTCTGTTTACTACTGAACTTAGATGGAGTGAAATCCTCGCGGTGAATTGCATATACCCACTTTTTCGATAGCTCCTCGTCCAACGGGAAACTAAAAGCATGAACTTTTGAACCACCCACATAATTCCCCCGACAAAATGGAACACAACACTTGAAAGGCATTGTTATTTCGCCGATCACAACATAAAATATTTCACAAAACAGTAGTTTTTCCGCCAATTATTTTGATGAATAAACAACAAAAGAATTCGGGACCGTTTCAAAAACATACGTGAATCACCGATTAATTAACACGAACTGACACGTTAGTCGACAAGCGATAAAATAAAACACTGGCCTCTCTTGGTGACGTCACGAGCTGTTTACGTCAGAGTCTGCTGGCCTTGTTGTATTGGTGGTAACGCCTGGGGGCTTCTTGTTCTGGACACTACCGATAGTTGTAAATTTGGATACAAGTTCCCTTGAATATTTTCTACAGAAAGGACGATTTGGGCAACGATCATTGAACATTCTTTCGGCTTCGTGAAAGTTACGCGTCGCACCATAAATATAAATCGCTTCGATTTTTTCTTCCAATGGACGAGAATTGACCATTCTAGAGATAATTCACGTAGTACCTGTACCTTATGTACTGAAACCAGAAACTGAATTAGAATATTTTGACAGAACAATGATGTTCGTTGTCGTACTAACATTTTTTGTCTCTTTTATAAACAAAAAATATCCTCTAAAACCTCATCGGGTTGTTGGGATTGCCATATGGCAGAACAAAACAAATATTGCTAGAAATAACAATATTGATGTTTTTGTATTCAGGCAACTATTAAATGTTCGCCATTCTGTAGTAGATGAAGATATTGACTTTGTATCCTAGGGTTGTGAAGTATTCGTCATGAGCTTCAAAATGATGTGTCACAAGACCTTCCTTTCCATTTAATTTTTTCATCCTAGATGGCGCCTAGTAGTCATCTTAAGACTTCCATTTGTCAATTCTACTCCAAAATATAGTATTCATGCACCAATTTCATCACTTCAAGGTTCAATTTTTTCAGTTGACCTGTTCAAAAAATAACAGGGATGGGCATTAAAGAAAAGCACTGTATTGAGTGTTGATAATACCAGTCCATATTCGATTGGAATCACATAAATGATAATTGAGAATATTTTTTTTTGAATATCCAGAGAATATTCAAAATTTTAACAAAATATATGATATTGAAGTTTCTATTCTTGAATCAATATTCATGATGTTTACCCTGACACAACCTATTATTCTCTAGCCCCAATCCTGATAATCCCACTAATTCAGTGATGTCATCTTGCTAGTCATTTCATTCATCGATAAGGTTCGTGGCGAAATGGTGAGGTTTCAGATTCAAAAAA